TGCAGATGCAGCTTAAGTTAACTGATGGTGTCAGTTGCTTTTGATCAGGATTAAAAGCATCACAGGTTGCTCTGAGTAACACTGCAGAAGACTGGTTGCTCTTACAAATCTTGGGAATAATCCTCCTTATCAAAGCATGCAGTCTGTGCTACCCAACTCGACAGAAAATAAAAATCTCCTTAGAAAGGGAACACTGAAAAGCATTTAGTAAGTGTAGTGTGCTGCAACTTGAAATGCACACAGATGGAGCAAACCAGAAAAGCCTACAGGAAACAATTTAAACAATTTGATTTGGAAGGCGTGAGCGAATGCAGATTTTGTACCCACATTAAAGGTGATCCTGATGCTCAAGTTGAAACCCACAGAGTTTCTCTCCAATGTTGAATAAGAGAAAGGAAAAATGAAACTTCTGCAGCTCTGTAGCTAATTTTTTTTTAATTTAAATCCATTCTCGTTATCTGCGTTTGGGCATTTAAGATACAGAGGTTTCAGTGGAAGTTAGGTACTTCAGTGCTTTGAGAAAACTCTGCTGGAGTCTCAGCTGAACCTTTTGATGTCAAAATACTCCTGAAATTGTATTTCCAGTAAATTCTTACAATGATTTCATCTCCCCCAAGGTTTAATTTTAATCCTAGGTGTTCTGGCTCATCTTGTAGGTTTGGACACACACTAATGATAACTGTGATTATCACTGGATTATAACAATAAGTACAACAGTAGAACTTGCAGTTCTTCTGTCAAGGCCTGTTTTGCTGGAGGAAAAAAATCCCTTTGAACACCTTTGAAGGTCATGCTGTGAAAGACTAACTGCTTTATAGCGTGGTTTATGGAGCTTGGCCAGAGCACTTGAAGCATGTTTGGTCATATATCGGCATTGTTGCATTTCAAATGGAGTTACACAGTAAATCTTCGTTTGCTAGGAAATTTTCTGATCCTTTCATCTGAAGCTGTTTCAGTGTTGCTTTGTTGACTCTTTGTTTTAGGAGGAAAAAAGCGTTTCTGGCAATTTGGTAGCTGGGCATGTCTTTAAAGAAAATGCTATTAAATAAGCACAATTGCAAGGCAGCAGCAACTAATTCTGAAAAATCTCAAGCTAGATTTCTCAAATTGAATAGCAGATAGATCTGGAAGTGTGCATGCTGCATTTGTGAGGAAACAGGATGCAGATTCTACATACAGCTATAAAGCCCCTAAATCTTAAATGGTATAGGAAGTAGACCAGAATATTGAGCTGTGGCATGGTGCAAGCAGCTGATGAACCATGCCAGATTAACAGTGGCACTCTTCATACCAGCTTGGTACCTGTGTGGTACATGTCAAGTCTATGCTAGCAGGTATTTCTATCTCCTGACAGGTCCCAAGTTCCAGACTTTTAGCCAACCATCCCACAGAAATAAGGTTTTATGGATACATGCAATGCTGCATCAGTATCAAAAAACAAGAGGCAGAAATCCTGTTGTGCAAATGGCACCACACAATTTACACGGACATAGTTAATCAGTTCCTGAAATGTAGCAGCTAAGTGGCTTTGCCAGTGCTGTCTGCCGGGAGCAGCCCAGGCCAGGCTGAACCCCAGCCAGCCAACTGCTACCTGTGATCACAGCTCAGCGCTCCGGCTGCCGCCCTGGTCCTGGCCAGTTTACTCATACAGACATTTTCCACCACCACATGTACAGGACACCTGCAAGGAGGAGATTGTTTAAAGGGCTAATCATGGGCTTAGGGGGCAGCAATGGCTTTAATCTGTGTGCTTTTACAGACTCATCATATAGCTTCAAGTCAGGCAAATGCTTTTCAACTTATTTTCTTCCTAGCTACAGATACTAATCTGCCTTCTTAACAGGACTATTATTATGTGAAGTATTATTACTATGAAGCTATGTAAAGCAATCTAAAAATACTGTTATCAGCTCCATGGTATACTCATTGCAATACAGACTAGCTCATGCAGAACCCTCCATTACAGCTGCACCTTTCAAATGACTGATATTCACCTGCAAATGCATTTTACAAAACCCAATTTGTCTATATGCAGTCAGAAAATTAAATAGGACAGAAGAGAGAGGAACAGTGAAGTTTAAGCACTGACCCACAGTTCAGGAAACCCTTCCCAATATTCAGGCCTCTCTCAAAGAGGCAGTAAGCAATTTTAGCCCTCAGATTGTCACCATAAATAATGAACTGTAAATTCCCATTGGGTCAGAATCTGTCTCCAGATGTGCACAGGTATCCTGTACTCATATGATTTGATGTATTTCAGAACCATGTATTAAAGAGAAGTGGTATACAGCCAGGAGCAAAAAGGCAGGCTTTCCTAGCAACCAAAGAATTCTCAGTAAATCCTCTTGTTTGTTTATTCTAGCACAGGTACACTCGAAAAGGCTATTGCTGAGCCTGATAAATAGAAGTCTCTGTATTTAAACACAATCGTGGGATTATGTATGTATCCTTTAGGGCAAATTAATTAGAAAGAATTGCCTGTTAGCAACTGAAAATTAATTTCCTCTCTTAAAGCCTTTGCTCTGCAATACTCATTTTCAAAATTAATGCTTCTCATTTTTATGCAGCATGCATGCTGCCCAAGTGCTGATGCTTACTCCACACAGCACAGTAAAAATTCTTCTGCTTAGACACTATTTGGGTCCATTGATGCAGTAATCAAACCTTATAATAAATGACTGCATAATTTTCAGAAACTGCATTTTCTGGCGTTTAAATTGTGGAAATATAAAACTAAAAAAAAAATTAATCTTTGTCATCCTAACTACATATCCTATTTTCTCTTGCATGAGTCCATTAATATATATATTATTCATTAATGCATGACCCAAATTCTAACCTTCTAGTTAAAATGACAACCCAAGATGTTCTTCTGAAGTTAATTTTTATCGTATTTTTTATTCAACATTTTTCTCAAATTATATTTTGAACATAAATACACAAGTTTTATGGCTCATGTTACAAAATACACTACTATGTGTTAGAAAACATATATAGAATATATCGTAGTGGTTACATTTGCTCCCTTTTTTCCTATTATTTTCATAACTTCTATTAATCTAGAAAAGCAGTATCAGAAAGCAAAATCCAACCTCTGAGCAGCACAGTCTACAACAGCTATAAGGACTATTTGTCAGCTGTAAGAGAAACTTTGGTTCCTGCCTGTTTTTACAGTAAGGTAATACCAGCAAGTTGCATGTCAGAAAGGAACATTGCCCTTTGTTCTCAGTTAGTTACTAAAATCTAGTTTATGACAATATGTATTTTTAAAGACTGACGTACAGCTTCTCTTTTGCTTTACACTTAGCAAGATAAATAGATAGGTATTTTCAAAATAGGGGAATTGAATGAGGGACCCATTCTTTTCTCACAGAAGTCACTGGCAAAACTCCAACGTACTTTCAGAAGAGCAGATTTGTAATTTGTTCTATTGACAGAACTGAAGAAAATTACATTTCAACTGACAGGATAAATGTCTCTTTACAACTCTCAAGATACTGCTAGAGGACCCTGTAATGCATGGATTTCCAGCTGAGTGTGTGGTGGACTCTACTTACTGCTCCTAGTGATCAAGATCCATCAGGGAGTAGATGTGATTCTCCAGTCCTGAAGGCAGGGACGTGGAATACCATGCCCAAGGAGCATGTGAAATAAAACCTGTGGTCTTTTTGCTGCAGTGTAGCCAAGGGATACTAGATTATATATGCTTTATACACAGAAGAATCTCTTAACTTGCTTTTCAGCATACATACATTAAACTGTACAATGTAGTACTTCCACACAGTGGGCAAAGAGCAGCTCCCAGGGCCATAGCTACGGAAGAGTATAGAAAATGAAACTGGCCTTGATCTCTCAAGCCAGGGGAGTCTAAGCAGGTCAGGCAGGAGAAGAAGAAAAGTTTGGGAAAATGTTGCCAGCTGCCTGGCTTAGAGGCACTCTGCTTTTTTCCATTTTTTTTTTTTTTTTTTTTTTCCCCTACCAGGACTCAAGCCAACACTAAGCCTATGCCAACACTGACAGTACCCAAGTGAAGTTGCAAGACACATAGCAAAAGTCATGGAAGAAAACCACATAACAGTAATGAAGATCCTAAGCCTACAATCCCATCTATAACAAGTAATCCTTTGTGACTCATTGAAATCCATGCTATTATGGTTCAATGGAAGATGTGGGCAAAACTTCTGAAATCAGGATGCTATTTTGGTGCCACTCTGCCTATTTTGGTGCCACTTAGCAGGCAAAGACTGCCTTCACCAGCATTCCCTCTGTCCCCCTCACCGGTGTCAGGCATCAGGGCAGTCCTGATGTTAGTCCAGTGCTCTGTCAAACTTGCTCAGCCAGCCTACACACCAATTCTGGGGTCACCTTGATAGAAAAGACTGAAAATTTAGACGTACACAGATCTGATGCAAAATTAAGAAAATAAATTTCAGCATCATTTTAAAAACACCAACCCTACTACTATATCCAACAAAAATACCTCAGTCTCTAGTACTGTTTGCCCTGAAATGGCACATGCTGGGAAACACTGTCCTTATGGTTGACAGTGATTTAAACTAGGCAGATTGAAACAAAACATAGTGGAATCAAGGCTTTGAATTAGAAGCAGCAAAAACAATTTCAGGGCAAATCACCCTCTTACTAGGACAATAATGGTACCAAAGTAGCCATAAATTTTATTCTATTCTAGTCAATGCATACATCTGATAAACGTTCTACTTCAGATTGCATTTTACTGAAGTGATGGATAGAATTAGAGTTCTTCACAAAATGGAAATTTAATCATTCTAATTTCTCTGTATTTCAATGTACTGAGGAAGGAAAAAAATGTTCCCAGCAACTCTGTTCAACAAGTTACCTGCATTAAACAGATTTTGACTGAAGGATGTGTCTCGTCACCATTTCTGGCAATGTCTTTATGAGCTGAAGCATTTGTCTTGTATTTCATATGTGCAGAGATATTCTTTTCATATGTGAAAAGAAGGGCTTGCCACTGGCATTGTCTTTATGAGCTGAAGCATTTGTCTTGTATTTCATATGTGCAGAGATTAGTGCAGCAGGCATTTTCAGTACGAATCCCAAATTCAAAGTTTCCTTTGGAAATACATAAATTCATGACTAAAATGTTGATCAGGTCCCTACTTAGAATTCATCCTTTTAACAGTACCAAAGTGACAACTTGCCCATCTGAGGGAATGAAGCTGCATCCCACTTTTCCAATTCCCATTTACAGGGCCGTGCTTTGCTGAAACTGGGTGAAAAGGAGGGCTCGTCATTCAGGTATGACCATATCTCTGCTGTTGCACTGTGACAGTATTTGATAGATGCTTGCCTGGGGACACAGCACAACTCAGCTAATGTAGGACTCATAGTGATTACCTGTACTTGCTATAGATATTCCTATATTAGTATATATATCTTCCCAATTAATTACTTAATTAATAACTTTGTTATTAATTTACTGGATATTCATGCCTCCTTAAAAATGTTACAATCCATGTTTAGCTTTGATATTGAGTTGCAGAGGGAGGATGCTAGCAGCACTACAATGCACAGCTGTCCTGTATCTGTATTTTCTATTTGCCCAAAGCCACCACATCCCTGCAACTTTCTGTATAACAAAAACAAGCTGCATACACATCGCACCTACCAAGAAAATTAATGTGCCTTTTGTACTGCAACATTTCTAATAACACTGAGCATTAGAAATTACTATTCTTAAAAAAAATCTATGTTCTACGTTGAAATAAACACTGATTAATTAATTTAGCCAGTTTTGTTCCAACCAAACTCTGGTATGTGGGATGAAGTTTTAAACTATTATAATTCTTGCAAAATTAATACTAGCTCACATTAGATTACTTATGATTTAAAAATATTTGTTAATTTGTTAAAATCTACTCTTCCATGCAATGTGTCACTTTGGAAAAAGTAGAAATAACTGATTTATGCAAGAAGAAACCAGCATGAGACATGGCATATCTTCCTTGCCTTCCCTAAGTGCTATAGAACATAATTAAGATATTTATAAATGTGAGTATAAATAAGGTAAGAGATTCTAAAACCATTTTAAAGTCCCTAACATTCCTTTTTTTTCTAAGATCAAAGACAGCACCAATAGCTAAACATTTTCCAATACTCTAACACTGCAGAATGTTCTAAGTGTGTGAAGACTGTCTTGCACCCTTAATCCTGTGATCCAAGCCTACTGAAATTGCTCCCAGGTGTATAAAGCCTATCTGCTTGGGTCCTAAGTTGGCATTAGCCACAAAAGGATATCACATTTTTTTTAATAGCAAAAACAATCTGGGTTTAGTTCAGTTAGATATTTAATAGTGGGATTTGCCAGACCATCACTGAAGACACTAATTCATCTTGTCGTTGCTGCTTGGTCTTCTTGTTCACTCTTCTGTGTCCTTGGCCACCAGAAATTACTAGTACTGAACTTGCTTTCATTTTCTTAGATTTCTGTCTTTTACTTTTAAATGAGATATTTTGATCCTTCAGAAGCTCATAAATGTTGCTGTCCTCTGGTCTGTGTTCTAGGGAACTTGATCCGTGAGACAAAGTAAGGGATCCAGAAGATGATGACAAGTCACTTCTTTGTGCAATGGACCCTGCTGAATCCCCCAGCCAAACTGCAGTGTCCTGGGTGTTACTAAGGGAAGAGCCCGGTCGTTCACTGTGCAGAATGTTCTTTTGGTCATCGTCCTTAGGTTCTGAGCCAGGAGGGAGGCTGTTTCTCAATTTGTTTCTGTTCTTTTTGTTTATAGATGTAGCTGTTACAAGAAACTTGACTGGGCTATTGTGTGCATGGTATGACACCATTCCTCTTCCTGGAGCCAAAAGAAAAGACACAATTAAAGAACATTATTTCTCAGACCACAGTGTTCTACCATAATTAGTTCATGAAATTTGCTCAGAATAGCGTAACTCTTAAAGCCCTATTATGTGCATCCAGTCTTTTGCCTTGTGTGGACACAATTTACAGAAAAAAAGTAGTACAAAAATAATGTTCTACCACAAGTGTTTTAGGACTAATAAGTCAGCTGAAATATGGCATATGAACTTTAGATTATGTACTTTTGTGCTCTGGTCTCACTATGGCATGAGCACAGAAATACTGCTGGCTTTTTAGCTGGCATCAACACAAATGTAACACTGTGTTTTCTCCAGTAATCCCCACATATTTTGTGTACCCCAAATCAATCCTGTTCTACCTCTGTACCTTTCCAGAACAGTATAAGAACATCTGTTTTATTGCAACAGACCCATCCACACTGTAGAACAGGAACTAAAACTCATCCTTCTGGTTGTCTAGTTACCATTATAGATTCATAAGGAACTGACTGAACAACCATTTCTTCTCCTTTTTTTTTAAGTATTTAATCAGTGATATATTGGTGGTACAAGGAAGATTTACACAGTGCAAATCATTAGAATGTATGAAAAACAAATTGCACATAGCCAAATTGAGAAGCTGTAACAGAATGAATAGATTTGCCTTTTACAAAAAAAAAACAAAAAAAAAAAAAAAAAAAAAAAAAAAGGAGAAAAAAAATTGAATTCTACCAAGTAAGCTACAATATTAAAAAGAGCTAGGGAGCAAGGGGAAAAGACCACAAATCTTATAAATCACTACATCCATCCCTAACTCCCAAGTGCATTTCACATTTTAAGAAAGCAGATTCTGCTTTTACAGGAAGTACATTCATATAAAGATGAATTATCGCTATTGGAAACATAATGGGGAAAAGCCACAGTTTTTAAATTCAAAATACAGTTATCAAAGACTATAAAAACAGATCTCTAAATGTAATGTTTCTAGGTCTGTGATACCTGGCAAATCTTGATGCCAGATAAATGCAAGAATATATGATATAAGCCAAAATAATAAAAACAGAAAATGGAAGAATGAGAGATTTTTTGATTCTGCAACTATGCCTATTCTTGTAATTGTATTTTTTTTCACCTAAGATAGGTTCCAGATTTTTACAAAGCATTCATCCTGTGTCATACCAGATTATTGCTGCGTATTTTGCTGAACACAGAGGATTTAATTTTCATTTTGTTAAGTTACATAAGCTTTTTTTTCCCCCTGGAGGAAGCTGCAAACAGCTTGCCTCATAAAATCTGCCAGCTTCCCTCTGCAACACAGAAGCCTGAGCAGAATTCTGAATCCAAAACACTGGGGAAAAGCCCCTATTAAACACACATTTAAAACCTTGCTTCTAATAGTAGCCTAAACATTTGTATAGTGATATAAGCATTTGTGTGCTTGTATTTCAAATGGGGTAATATGAAACTAACTCATAAATACATCTCTCCAGAATGCAAAAACCTTGATCACTGTTGAAAAAATTAAATATATACTCTCATATATTCCTAGTCTCCAGTTTGGGGGAAAAGGGAACACAATCAATTTATTCAAAAACCAGTTAGACAACTTGCTCATTTTTAAGTATCTGTGTCTCTAAACCTAATGCATCTATTTTCCCTAAATCTGGAAATAAGACTGTCTGCATTCTCTTCTCATCCCCATATATTTGGCTGTACTCCAACAGGATTAATGCCTATCTCTTAAAGAAAAATAGTTGTCCCCTCTCAAACAACTGAGACAAAACTAGACAAGTATCTGGATAATACTGTAAAGCTTAGAAAGAACAACAAGTGTAATTTCATCACACAGCTCCAACTTTTATCTAAACAATACATATAATTTGGCAGATTCACTTAAGTTACTGGCAGAAGAGAAGTGACATCTTCAGTACTCGATCTGTTTGAGAAATTTCACTCACCAGTTACTTTGGGAATCCCCTGCAAGCGTGGCACTGGTAATGCTACTATAATGCCCAGGTTTGTTCCAACCAGCAGCAGTCCATGGCACACCAGGAGGCTGGTCACAGAGACACGCTGCTGCCCTGTGGAGTTTAGCAAGTGCTCCATTACTGAACAGTGATGACCTTTGCCTAGATCAAAGCAACTTCAGGCAAACACAATCAGCTGGACCATCTCAATTCAGCAAAGCACTCATTGTAAGGTGAATATTTTGTTGGATTATGGAATTACACTTTACATACATGACAATTTAAATATTATTGAACATGTGAAACATTCTGCCCTAAATTTCTGAACCACAGCATCCAAAGGTAGACACAGACTGTCTCTATAAACATGCTTTTATGAACAGGTTATGTTTGTATATTCCCAATAATAAAACAGAAAAACATTTCACTTCACAATACTCAGTAACACTCTATACTCAAAACTCAAGGCTGCTCATGATTATTTTTTTTTCTCCTAGTTTTTAATCTGTGAAACTCTATCGGAAGTGCTGTGTCCACCTGTCTAAGTTTGGGTCCCCACATACAAGAATGGCACTGACATACTGGAAGAAGTCCAACCAAGATAATCAGGGGACTGGAGATATTAAAGGAAGTGCTGTCTGCACCTACCTGATGGAAGGATGCACAGAAGATAGACTCTGTCCACATGTGCACAGTGATATAGTAAGACACAAAACGCTCAAATTTAGAGCATGGGAAAATTTTATTATACACAAGGAAAAGCTGCATCACCATAAAGGTGGTCAAAAACTGCAATGGGTTGCTCAGAGAGGTGGTGGGATCTCCATCCTATGCAGAAGTATTTAAAATTTGGCTGGACAAGACTCTGAACAACCAGGTCTAATCAGTCCTTCTTCTTGAAGGATGAACAAGACTGCCTCCAGAGTAAGTTCCTACCAAAATTACTCCATGATTCTATGGTTTTCTACAATATTATTTATAGGATTGCTATTTTTCTAGCAAAAATAAAGTAATTTTTGCTTGCAATGGTGGCTAAAAATATGTTTGATTCCATTTAAATGGATTTTCAAAATGTCCTTGCCAAGCTTCAGAAACTGAAGCTATGATCTGCCCAAACTTTTGCCCAAGTTTATGGGGAGGAGCATTTAAACTCTGCTCGAAGCTCAAGAAGTTTCAGGTCCAAAACATACACATTCTTGGATTTATTATTAATTCTACATGTAAGAGAGCAGTCATTCCATCTTCATCATAGCTCTCAAACTGTGAATCACTTCATCAGTAGGTCTAGAATTTGAGTTCCACATTTGACTTGACTTGAGTGAACCCTCATGTTCAACACTCTGAAGAAGGATCTTAATTATGGTGTTTCACAAATGAATGCATTTTCTGTCTTGTCCCTTGAAGCTGAGCTAATTTACATCCAGGAATATATGAATTACAGACTCACTGGGAAAGCAGGGAAGGAGCAGCTTGACAGTCACCCAAAGCACTTGACTGGAAAACAGGAGGCAGACCACAGTCCAAGTCTTTCCTCACAGAACTTTACAAAAACAAATACTAACCCAGCAATGGTGTGTTTTAAGAAACTGACATAGGATCAGATCTGGAATCCAAGGTCTGTCTATCTAAAAGCACATCCTAAAACACCCTAAAGGCACAATGATTAGGTCATCCCGGTCAGGTGTAACAAGGACAAGTTTAAAAGGCTCCATCTACTTGTGCAGACCTTCAGAGACTACTGTTGAGTTCCATGAGCTATACATGTTTATTCTGGTAGGACACATCATCCTTCCTCAGCTAAATAAGCAAGAATAGTCTATGTTGTACACAAATTACAAATCTTTTTAATCTTTTTTGCCTTTTCAATGGCTTTGTTGTTTAGTTTGGTTTGATGTTAAGGTTTTTTGGTTGTTTTTGGGTTTTGGTTTTTTTTGTTTGTTTGGTTGTTTGGTTTTTTTTTTTTGTTTTTTTTTTGTTGTTGTTTTGTTTTGGCTTTTTTGAGATATTAATGGGATTAATTTAGTTTCCAAAAAAAAGTATACAAAGGCACTCCTTCCGCACAAAAGAAGTTCCAAATAATGCCCAAACCTCTGTGCTCTGGAGTTTACAAAAATCAGTATTTGAATTCTGTGATTTAGAGCTCAGGCTTGCTCAATTTATTTGTGACATGTGAGCCCTCTCCTACCACCTGCAGCACAGCAAGTGCAAGCTAAGGTACAAGCTTAGCTTAACTTAGAGCTTGTTCTACAAACTACACAAATACTTGAGCACAATTTTTTAGCTTTTAATATTATCAAAAGCTCCAAGTGCACTGCTGCCTCTTAATCCCCTACAGAAGCAAGATGCTCCTGTTTTTAAACAATAGAACTTCGATGCTTTTTAAGCATTTAAAAGACAACATTATATTCATGATTTCATATTCCAAACCTGAAGCAACTTTTAGACAGTAATTTTTACCTGGCAAATATGTGTTACTGTTTCCATAGGTAAAACCAGCAATTTATCAGCCAGCAACTTAGAATATTAAACACTGACCACAACCTAAAGCATGAAACAGCTACAGCAAGGTCAAAACAAAAATTGCTTGCTGTGAAATCTTGGAAAAGCAGGAAACATCTGCATCTGAGAAGATACTTTAAACAACATAAAACAACTAAAATATATATATATATATATACACATTAAAAATACACTAACTTAAAATATTTATGTATCTGCTAGCCAAGATTTGAATCATATTTGTCTTTGTTATTTTCTGACTTTTTGTTTTGATGTATTTCAAATTCAGAGAGAAATAGTCAATCCAATTCCCCAGAATATATTATGCAATAAGCAGACAAATTAACCAGTTAAGAAGGGAAAATGATAAACATATTCCAAAACCAATAAAATACTCATCTTTAAATAGCAACTTTTACATCACACTGTCCCAATGAGGAAAAAACTGTTAAAACGTGTAAAATAATCTGACCAAGATCTTGATTTTACAGGAATTGAAGCCAATAATTAAGTGTATGGTTTGCTCTGTGTTCACCCTTCTCAGGTCTCCATTACAACAACCACCAGAGCTGGATAAATCCTCACAGATCTGAATTCAACCTCAATTAGGTGCAAGGACATTGCTCCATATCCTCTTACATGGCCATGCTGCTCCTACAATGTAAAAAAACAGCCCACTGTACAGATCTGCTGGGCTGACCTGAAGTTTTCTCATCTTTTTGTCATTTCCCAACAGCAATCATAAAGCAACTGCATTTCATGCTCTGGCACCTGGCAGGGTGGGAAAAAAGCAAGCTGTAAAGCCTCATAGTAGAGTTGGTTTTCTGTAGAGAGGAAATTATACCTTTTTTCCTTTGCTTTTGCCATCTGTTTCCAGGAAACACACATGCCATGAGAGGACATACGGATATAAACAGAATATGGCAAGTTAAGCAGAAATTGTCTCTTTGTTAAACAGGTAACCTGTCATCATCCATATGAGCAATGAAGTATGAAGGCCACTGTAATTACAAGTCTCTTCAGAAGGGCAAATTCTTGTAGAACTGAGAGCAAAAACATGTTTAAGGATGTTCTTTAATAAAATACTGACTGTGACTATGACAAACAAGTGGTCTGTTCATGTACAGTATGACTTTTTTGGTGGGCTGTAACAAAGGCTGGTGAAAAACGGATCCTTCAGTTACAGATCACAAAATTTAAGCATAAACATTCTCTACAAATTATATATGTTGCACTAGTGAAGTGTGAGTATTTGTCTTCAAATGTTAATAGATTTCTTTGCTGCTCAGTATGCCTCTGTTAAGATAATAGAGCTGTGCTTGGGCTCCTTAAAAGCAATACAGCTGTACTGTGAATCCACAGTGAAGAAGACAGTGAAATAAACAGCTAGCTGGATCTATAACAATGATTATGTTCTTCCTCTCAACCATTCTCTTCCTTTCTCACATGGCATTTGGTCTTTCGATACAGAACACAAACTTGTTATATATCATTAAGAAACATTTTTGATGATATATGAAGTAAAGGTAGTGCAGACTGGTCTAGACTAAATGTCTATCCCACAGTCACCTCTGTGATCCTGGTTTCATTTCCAGTCCTGCATTCCAACACACAAACTTTCCACAGCTCCAGAAAGTGAGAGCCCTCCGATCTCCAAAACTCAGAAGGGGACTGCCACAGATTTAAAATTACCTCCAGCAGGTAAAAGAATCTGTCAGACACAGTCTGTTTTTTCTCACTACTAAACTTCACCAAATCATAAGGACAATTGCCTTCTGTGCCATTTCACTCCCCTGTGATTCTGTCCTTTACAAGACAGAGAACTGTGATACTTAAAACTGTCTTCTCCTAAGAACAAAATTGGGGAAATTTACTGCTATGAGAACTCAATATTAAGGTTAAGACCCTCCTACTCTGCTGACTGTAGTTATCTTTAAAGTACTGTAACTCACAGTAATAATTCCTAACAGTGACAGTAAATTTTTCTTTTACTTGTACAGTATAACAACAACAAAAAAATTCATTAACCTAAGGAAGCAACATTCCTCTTATTTACATTACTTTTAAGTGAAGACATCTCTAGGTAGTCTATTGGGCTAGTAACACATCAGTTACTCCTAAAATCCAGGGAAAAGAAGCCCAGCTTCTTTAAAGCTATACAAAGATCTTACCTTTTTATATCTCTCTTCTTAAGACTCTTAGCAATATTTTTACACAAATTTCTTCTCTCATTTCAACACCACTTGAATTTTTACTTATCTGTTATTTCTGCATATTAAGGAACTTCTACTTAATTTCAGAAAGCTAATAGAGCTGTTTACTTTAAATGTCATAAAAATCTCTCATGAAGGCAAATACATATATTGTAAATATACAGCTATTTCACCATGTTGTAATTCAGTTTCACTTTGTTGTTTTTTTTATCCTTTTTTATCTTTATACTATACAGAACTTGGTAACTTGATTCTTTAGCTCCTTTCAATTCCAAAACTGCTGCTTTGTTATGTAAACCTCCTACTACTCTGTCTTTTAACTTTTGTTGTTGCAGCATTTTGAGATCATATAAACAGGCCAGAGAGCTGCTGCTAAATAATTGAAATTCAGTTCATTTTTAGAAAGGAGTCTCCCTTTGAACATTTGCTATAATAATGTCCTACTCCCAAAATAGCCTTCCATTTCCATTCACTGGTGTGCTTTCTGTGAAGACATTGAGGAAAAAAAAAAAAAAAGGAACTAAAATGGGTAGGAATGACACCAAAGAGCTCTAATTAGCTAAAACTCTTTTACAAAAATAATAGTATGTTACATCAGCAGTTTTATTGCCATGACAATGAACACAAAGCTAAATTTTTGACTATTTTTACATGCAGAAAATATGTATATGGGAGGTTTTACTTCCCTTTTTCCTCCTGCTATGAACAGCAGAATATACTAAAAGTTCATTTAAAGTTCTTTTTACAACTGATCTTGATTTCTTTGCACAATTCTGATGAATTCAATCAAATTATCTATGTAAAGGCAAGTGATTTGCTGCTGTTCAGTGCTGGACCTACGGTCAAACACCACATGTAAAAAGCACCCGGTCTAGAACATAACAAATAGACAAAATTTATAATGGAGTTTTATTGCAAAGCTAATGTAATCTGAAAGAAAACAAGCTAAGAAGAAGACATTGAAAAAGTGAAACATTTTTGATGTAAGATTCGTACCTGACTCCTGTGAGAATATAAATATAATCTCTGTGTGGGAAGAACTGGCTTCAGCTAGAAAAACTAAGCAATAAAGCTGGCACACATATTGCCCATAAAAACTGCAGAACCTTGGTCTATTCCAGTCTATGAACAGGGAGAGACAGAAAGAATGGTTGTCCACTCATGGATACCTCATGCTCAGCCATGCCAAGACCACTTTTCTGTCTCTCTCCTCCCAGCACAGTCCCAGCTCCCACCTGATGTGTTGCTGATGCTGAGGTCCTTGTCATCCACTTGCTAAACTGATACAAGCCATTTCAACTTATTGCTTATTGAACAGCTTCTGTCTTAAAACACGTAAAGAGTTTTAATTTTTAAATTTTTATCCTAACAACCACAGGTTAGATTTAAAACTAATAATTTCATTCACCAAATTAGAGCTCGGGTCAGCAAAACACTGAACACACTCCAAAATGGCAGCATGTGAGTGGTTCAGCTGAGTTCCCTGGATCTACTGATATAACTAAAAGTAAGAAAGTGGTTTTTTGGTCCAGATCCTAGGCAAAATGATTCCATCATGTACTAGATTCTAAGCTTCCAAAAGCAAATGCTAATCTCTGCAAAGTAAACACAATTTCATGATAGATTACATTGTCCAGCTGTTTCAGAGTCACACAAAAAATATGACCAAACAGAAGAATCCACCTGCTTATCTCAACCTGCTGTTACTCGGCCAGCTCACTGCACACATTGTTCACCAGGCAGGAGATGGACTATGACTTACTGTAGTCAACAGTCAGGAGACACTTACCAGACTCAAAGTCTGAGATGAATCTTGTGATTCTAGCCTAATCTACAGCACCAAAGAACAACAGTGATAAAACAAAAACGTTACCATGTGATGCAATTCAGCTACCTGGCAACATATTGTGAACAGGTGTGGCAATGTTAACATCCTGGAGGTGTTTCAGCGTCTCTGTGTGGAACAGTCGAAGGGCAGATCCTGATGTGAAGGCAATCCAGACTCCCACTCCAGCCACAGCCATGTGAGAGATAACCATCCCTTCCTCTTGATGGGCTTCAAAATGGTTCTGCAACAAAATGCAAGTCAAGGATATCACTCAACCTTTCTTACCAGCTTTTCAGTGTAAGCACCGTATCTTCATCCTCTTTGACAAGGACAAAGCTTCCTCTGCCTTGCTCAGTATATGTTCTGACAGAAAGGTATGATGTGTTAATTTCCCTGGGACTTTTTTTGGAAATATATCATCATTAGTATAGAAGGATTCTCAGCTCTTGAGGCAGGGTTCCACCTAACAGATTAACTCAGATTTTCTAGTTTTTAAAAATATTGCATCACAGGGGCTGGCAAGCCCAAAACAGCTCAGACTTAAAAGGATTTTGTATTTCTTTATTTATACTCCTTTGAGGAAACTACCACAGCTGTTCTTTTATCTACAGCAGAACTTATATTTCAACAATATAAAATACTTTTCTTTTGTTCTGCTGGGGATCATTTCATAACAAGAATAACAATGTAATAAAAAGTCATATTGAGAAAGTAGAGTGTTTAAGAATACAAACACACAATTATTTGCACAATTACACACATAGCAATGTCAGCCTTAATACGGCAGTTTGGTTTTTGATGCTTCTGAATTTCACAAGTATTAGCTATATTGTTTTCCTGTCCTTCAAAGAATTGGTGCTTCTCTTTCTAAATGTAAGTAACGCAACACTTTGATGATAGACCTTTTTCCTTGATCTAGAGCCAGTCTCTCTCTCTGTATGTCTCTATTAACATGTGCGATAAAGCTGTAGTAAAGTTTCTTAATCATTAATAAGAAGGAAGGATTGTTTTCCCTCCAGTTTTGTCTTGTAAGAAGACTGTCTCTGAAGTTGAACACAGCCTTTTATTGTTGTGCCAGCTATTATCAGAGAGCCAGTCTGATAAACACAAAATTTACTTAGCTAAATAAATGACAAACTGTTCCTTGGATAAAAATCTCTCACTGAGGAGTATGGAAGTAATAAGTGCTCTAATATTCACTTAATGTATTATATATTATTTATTACATTTGCAGATAAAATGCAGAAGTACCTCCTCCTTCCTTGTGAAATACACTTAAATTTTTTCAGGTGTTACAATTAAGTTCCATTTTGGCATTTTTTTCATTAAAATTTAAATATAATAAGGTTATAGATATATTGTCCAAATTTTCCATCAAAATTCAACTAACAGGCTGAGATCAGAGACAAAGAATAACTTTTGGTATTATGTTTACTAAGCACTTAAATTTTTTTTTATACTTTATTACTGCATCAACTATTATTTTCACAGAGAAATTTGCCGTTTAAAGAGGATGGGAATTATCTTTTGTGTTTTTCATTTGTTAACATTATTCTCCAAATGTTCAGTTTTAGTAAATAAACAGAATTTTCTCTTCAGCTGTCAGGCAGTGGTTCAGTTTTTGAGTGCTACTGTATTACCTTTTGATTCTTTGAATAACAACACTGCTGAATGTAAGGCAATCAACTCTGGCAGACACATTTATATTCACTGTTTTCCTCAGGTAACTAGTATTAATTCATTACCAAATGATACACACAGTTTGAAAATCATAAGATTTATTATACAGAAGAATTTATCCATTAAAAAATCTTTCAAAGTCAGAAACAGCCCTTATGACTAGATTTGCTGATATTCTAATCATGCATGTTCCATTGCAAAAAAAGAATTCTAAACTACTCACTTTTTTTAATAGATTCATACATCTCTACACTGGTGACTAAATGGCTTTTGAGAACTTCTAGGGGACAGACCCACAGCTGCTGAAGAGTGCTGAAAAGAGTGCTGACCAGCACTTTTTGAAATTAGAAGAAAAATGAAGAAGATTGTAAAAAACTAATTTTCTCTGGAGTGATCCAACCACAGCTGACAACTATGTTGGTGCCACTGAAAACAACTTGCACATGCATTTTTGTAACATTCCATTTTTACTAGCCAGCTCATTATACTCCCACTTAAGTCTGTCCTGCCATTTGTACAGCTGCCTGCTGGAACACACAGACCCAGTTGAAGTAAAACTGTATACTGAAAACATGACAAGGCCTGTAGAAAGAACTATTCTTCTCATTGAAAGGGTCCTCTAACATGGAGCAAGAACATATCCCAAAACTGCACCTTCTTATGCATAAATTTTTGCATAAAGGATATCTTTGACATCTGTTTCAATTACACGTCTATCTGAAAACCTGTGAGCTGGTCTTCTAAGTTTCTTTTCTTTTTATAAAAAGAAATACAGATACAAAGGAACAAAGATGACTTATTCCTTTTGTTATCAAAAGAATTGAATTAAATTGCTTTTTCTCTTTTAGTTTTCATACCTACATTCCTCTTGCCTGGCTTTTCCCCCTCAGGCTCTCCCATTCTAACTACAGCAGCACGGGAGCTGCAGAAGGCACCGGGGATGCCACAGCCCAGTGCAGCTCACCAGTGTTCCAGCAGTGTGGGACACAGCAGAGCCCTTCTTTTGAGGGAGTGCTCACTTACACCAAACTGCTGCACCAAGAGATGAACCACAATTTCTCCAAGTTTAGGTGAAGAGGACAATGGATGCCATTACCTTCGACATCAAACAAATGTCTTTCACTGCTTTAAAGAAGGTACAACACTTGGGCAACACACATTCATGCACAGGGATTTCCATATTTTTGTTTACTCAGACGAACATTTCAGTGTAACCCCTGTATAGATAGCAAAGTTTTAAAAACAAGACAAAACAGACTAGGATAGAATGACGCTCAACCAGTGACTTTATTAAATACTCTGGCACTTTCTGAAGTTTTGAAACAGGAACAAACTGCCTTTGCAGAGTACAAGGAGCTCCAGGCACAGAGACCATTATCGGACATATGTCTGTACCCAACTGCAATACAACTGTCAGATCTGGGGTCAAAACTAAGCGACAAATTTCTTCTTCACAGAAAGAGGATCAGAGTATGTAATTAATATATAACAGCAATTGATGCATTTCTCATGTGTGCCCTGCCAAAGATCTTGAGGCATTGTGCCAGTTTGGGGCATTGTGCCAATAAAAGACATTACCTAAAACATTCTATTACAATAACATATCATTAGAACAAGTGAATCGAGAGTCTTACCCACATCAGAGGGGGAGAAAAGCAGAAGTGAGTAATATCCAAATCCAATATACACAATGCCAAACCTGCTCATTTACTAAAAATTATTTAAGAAAGAAAAAAAATCGTAAATAAAAATCTTAGCAAAGCAAGAAGGCATGGAATGAGATTTGTCTTCAAGGATAATGTACTTTGCACTTAGCAAATGCACACACAGTTAAATATGAGATACCTGTGAAGCAAAAAGTGCCTCACAAGGACAAGTTTAAAAAACAGACTTGAATATGCTCATGGACTTGCACAAACATGGCCTTAAAATCTTGCCAGATGCCTTTACAGATAAGGTACATGACACAGAGCACATAGTATACATGCACGACAGTAGCAATGAAGTAGCAAGCAGCTGCATTGCAGTATACAGGGAGTATCTCCACATTATGTATATGGAAATACAAAGGAGTTCAGTGAAGAGGGAAGAGTAACAGGTGAGCCCTGTGCAACAACTGGATTCCTGCTGATGGAGTGAAGATCAAGTTTATGCAAAAGATATTGAGTCAGATCATTACAACTAACTTTCAGTGAGTGAGCACAGAGGGAGAACAAACATTTCCTTGCTCCTGCTTCCCCTCATAGCAAATATTCTGCTCTTCACAGTATGGAAGAGGCAGCTCAGATGTTAAAATATTTGATATAAACAGAGTTTAAATTGCTGCATATATTGTATAATATCAAAACAATATTGCCAGTGAACATGGGAAGGACAACATAGCAGATCACTTTTGGAAACATAAACCTAGGAAGTTATCAAAACAAGCCAGGTCACTAAGTAGGCAGCAACACTGAAAACATTAGAGAACTGTTTAGTCTGGTGAGATGATGAGAAAAAGATCAGTATGTCTTAATACCCATAAAGAAGCAACAGAAAATCATCACTCATTCACAATTCTATGAAGAAGATGACACGCTATGCCATGGATATTTGTGTGAAATTAAAAAGATGACCCTCAGCCAGATGTACAGAAAATCATCATGTTCTTGAAGAAACTCATTTATATTGAAAAAACATTATTCAACCCATATGCACCATTTCTTATCTGTTGCTTGCTGCAGCACTTATTGTGTGTGCAACAGACCTATAATAACCTGAGCTCTGAATACAACAGATGGCTTAGCTGAGAAATGAGAAGAAACCTCCTGTGATGCTTTTGTAGGAAAATCTGTAGTAACAGCTGAAAAATGAAACTGCCATGTCTGAGAGATATTGGTAGAGTACTTGTTATTTTATGTTTCCAAACTTCTGTTTTCAACACTGCAGTCCATGACATTTTACTGTATTATGACAGAGTAAGCTTTAAACATTCTTTAATCCTCAAAGTTTGTTTAACTCTGGGTTTGTTCTCCTCTGCCAAAACAGCCCAGCATAGCCCAAACTGCAGCCATACCACCAGACTTAGGGAGAGCTGTGTTACAGAATTAGGCCAGACTTGCCAAACCTATTTACAGAGATCTGGCTGTATGTATCCAGCCTCACACAGGAACAACCTGGCTGTGATTTCTTACCATTTTCCTAGTGAGAATCTGAGAGATTTTACTAAAGACTGTAAAATAGCAACCATGTGTCCCAGAGGCTGTGAAACTAACAAAAGTCCATTTCAAGCACCTATGCAAATCACTCATCCAAAATCTTTCCCTAATCACACCATTCAAACTACCAACAAAACAAGCCTTAAAGAAAAGCAAAGTAGGAGAGAATATAAGATCCATCTTATTAGATGAAACAAATCTCTCAGAAAACACAGAAAAAGACAGAGGAAATTAGGATGTTAGCTATTTCCCTGCAAACCCATGACAGTGACTCACAGAATCAATTGTACCAAACAGACAATTGTTGGGAGAAAACACTATCATCAAAGAAAAAAATGCAGCAACAAAGCACACAAAGAAGGAGGCTGTGAGCTCATCATGACTCCTGTTTGAAAAAACTTCATGGCTGTAAACATCATACAATTCAGTGACACTGTTGTAGGTTGAAGGAGAGGTTGAAATCGTGATGCTTCATCAACTCTTAACTTTGGACTACTAAGATATTTTTTGGTGAAAGCTGCAATTTGGACAGAAATAAGGTCTTAACATTTTCTGGAAAATGTGGTCACAAATGTGAGTTTGAACCCTTAAGACTCTTCTCTCATTCTGAAAAAGCCAGCTTTTGTGTGACTATTCATCAGAAACTGCTCTTATGCAAATAAAATTTTTGTAGGCCACCGAGAAGCAAAACTCTGCAAAAATATATTATGAAATTATTGCAAGGTACAAGTAACATCGAACTGTATAGAGGCAGTCTCTCAGTTAAACCTTCTTCTGTAATTAACATAAAATGTGCCTATAGGCACCCAGTTCTCTGCTGCTTTACCTCAGATTTCATTTTAAAGTAAATCTCTTGCCCCAAATACTCTGTCATTTCCAAGCACCTTATGGAAACCAGTGGGTAAATGGCAGCAAGGTCTGATGAGACATCAGCAGAGAACACAACTGCAGAATTACCAACTAAGGAAATGAGATTTAAAAGAACTGAAACCACATTCAATAAAAAGCTTCCTGAATCATGATGCTTCTTAAACACATTTTCATCTTTAAAATTTCACCACTTATACCCTGAAGCATAATAGGTGAGCAATGCTTTCAAAAGTGTTTACCTCTATGGAATGCGTCACAGTGCTGATTATAAAAATCTGTCCACCACATGCAGCCCAAATGGTCTCCTCCATCACAAGCAGACTTCTAACAGGTAGAACACCCAATTTAACTACCTTCTGAGGTTCTGTGTTCCATGTCCCATCTTCAATAAAAAAAAAAGAAGAAAGGTTATACACAACCAAATCTTTGCTTTAGAACAGTTCTGAAAAGTCCACTGTTTGAATTTCTGCAAGTTGACACTTCAAGCCACACTGTGATTTGTGTATGATTATTTTTAGCTTCCAGAGTAAATTTGCAAGGCTAAAATAACATTAAGGAGAAAACCAAACCTAAGAACTCATATAACTGTCAACAGAGTAAATTTTACCTAGATTAAATGATAATGCAGGAATACCACATTGCTGTTCTGATACAACTGCTTTCCCTTCCAGAGGAAATACAGTCAGAAATCCAAGGCTAACACAATTGTCTCCAACTCAGAAGGAGCTCACAGCCAACTTATTTCAAGATGAATCAATTTCTAACTAGGACAGAATCATCCTTCATGTGCACAGTCGTCAGGAAGATTTATACTGTAGGCTGTAAGGAGTGCAGTTCACTCTCTAAGAGCATTTTGATGGAATGGACCTTCCTACTACCAGATGCTTCAATTAAGATGGAAATTAAGACCCAAAAAAAGAAGAAATTAAAACCTGGTCTTGTGCCATACCTTCACTTTTCTTACTTTTCCCTCTAATTATAAAACCCACAGTGTTTTCTTCGGACTGCTTTTAGCAGTTCTAAATTAAATTATGCATGTGTATGGGGCACAGTTATTCACAGAGGTTCTGCTAAGAACTGCATGCTTCCTCCTACTGCTATGGTCACTCACAATTGCCATCTCTTTGAAACAAGGCCTAGGAGATTATTTATCCCCAAATTTAAGAACCAGCAACACAGGCTTCTTGAAACAGTTGTGGCTTTCTCTTTTATACATACAAATTGACATGTTAAGTACATCAATAATAATTTTAATGTTTTCATATTAGTCTGTATATTTTAAGTGCTCACTGAATATAGCCTCAAAGATGACATTTCTATACATTATGATTTATTAATAATAAAAAGATCTGCTAAAAGTAACTGGGTTTTACCCTGAGATAAAATATTTCAAAAAGCTCCATTTCTTCTTCATTGAAAAACCTTCTTCCTGCACAAGCTGCAGAAAAGTTTACTTTTCTGACACTGGTTTCAACTCAGTAACCACTTAAATTTTGATTGATGAGACCAAAGTAAACACATCTTTAGGCAGACACTTAAGCACAATTTTTTTCCTTTTCCCTCCTGAAAACAAGTGCATCTTCTATTATTTGCTTAGGGAACAGGGGTACAAAATTTCCTGCTTCACCAATCACAGTAGCAACAACAATAATGAGAAGCCTCAGTTCTGGAGTACTTCTCAAAATTTCTGTCATCTGTGAGATACAACCTTCGCTGAGTCATTCTCAGGATGTGGCTCTCTTCTGAAAGCATCTTTGTAGAAGTGACATTTAGTTTTAGGTTGTCAAAATAATTTTCATTATTTTAGTTTGCATTGAGAAGAGTGCTTCCAGTTATTAGCCTGCAAACTCTCCCAGTAATGTCAGAGTCACTCCGTGTTCTCTCTGACTCATACATACTATTAGTAATAAACAAACTTCTGGAAAAGTTTCCATTCTTTAGCAACCACATTACCCACAAATTCAATTCCAAACTGGAGGCTGTCCATACTCTATGATTGCTGTAAGCACTGCAGGCAGTGCAGAGTCTTCAGAGAGTGAAGCTGCACACGTGTGTCACAATTTTCATTGTGCAAGGGATGCTGACTACAGAAGTTTAACAACTATCTGTACATGGCACCATTCTTAGGGATAAACCCAGCATAATTCTGGTACATTCTTCCTGTCTTTTCTGAAGGATAAGGACTATGAGTTTGGGCAAAGAGCAGATATGCTGAGCAAAAAGCTATCTTTTCTAGTTATATTTTCACACTGGAAAAACAATTAATATAAAACAAAAGTCACAGAACTTGACAAGTCTTTCTCTTAAATACATTCAAGGTATACATTAATTTATATATAAAGCATAGCTGATACTGAAACAACAGGAAAATAAGGATTTTCAGGATCTCAACTGTGATTCATTGCCATTTTGCTTAAATTAAATTTCAAACATCTAATGTGTTTCTTTTTTTCATAAATCTGGACCTTTGTGCCCTGAAGTTCCATGTAACTCCTCAGATGACTAAGCATTAAGTCTTACTAATAATCTCCATGTAACGATCTCCAATGTAAGAAGCTGATTTAAATACTATCAATGTTATAAATACCATCTGAGCAATGAATATCTGATTCAACACATATGCCTAAAAAAACTCAGTTCTCACAAAACCATTTTCTGTGGGGTGTGTGTTAACACAGTAATTGACAGTCCAGTTTAAGAGTTCCATAGGATTGGGCATACAAAGAAGGTGAGATAGAGGCTTCATGTCTTTCATGTTACCACAATTTCTTGAAAAAATATGTCTGAAATCCCACTTGATGTATCAGCCCAGGAAAGATCCAAAGCTATCACTCTACCCTATGACACTAGTCATGTGATAAGGCTATACTCTGGTGCTTTCTTATTTCCTCCTGCAAAAACTTCTAGATCAGACAGCATCTGAGATGAGGGGGAAAATGGGTAGGGGGACACTCTCTGGTCTAGTAATTAGAACAGTATTCAAAGGATGTGTCAGCTGTGTCCTGGACCCTGCTTCAGTGAATGATTCATTAATTATACAAAGTGGAATGGCACCAGGACAAATTAAGCCCTGTGCATCTCCTTTCATTTTGTGGCAGCCAGGGAAATCTCTTGAGAGTGGAAAGTATGGGTTAAAATCCACTCAAGCAAGGCAAGGGATTAAGCCTGATAATCCAACATACTTCTGTAAATGCTTTAACCACAGGCTGCTGACTAAAAGTAAGATCACGAATTCATTTTGCTGACCAAGAATTTTTATCACCCATTTCCAAAATTACTTAGCAAGTCTGTGTCTAGCTCACAAGTGGTTTAACACTATCAAAATCACACTTAAAAGAAAACTTAATACTCTTCCTCCCTCTCTCTCCAGATCTCAGCAGACCCTGTTCAATACCTGCCTGCACAGACTTCATATTTGACACTGGCTGTTTCATGTTATCTGTCTGGTCCAATGTCCATTGCTTCTAAAATCTAAGGGAAAAGAAGCATTATCTCAATCTGCCTTGTGTAAACACCTGCAGATTCAAGACGTGCTTATGTAAGTAGTTTCAACAACTCGCACTATCCAGGTACTCAAAATTAGTCACAGCACTTGCAAAAAAGATAAGGAATAGCTTCGTTTGATGCTATAAAATCCTTTGTTAGTTACTGATTAAAATAGGTTTATTTTTTCCTGGCAAAAGAGAAAAGAAGCAAGAAATAGAAGCCAAGATAAAACTTTTGCCAACAGAATATCAAGGTGTACTATATGAATTGCAGGTACAGCTGTTTGTAGGAAAGATGTGTCTACAAAATCTGAGAACAGGGTCAAAGATAGAAATGAATCCAGGGGCTTCTGGAAATTAGCTGTCATATATTTATGTTGTATATAGGATGTCTGATATTTGCATATTAGACAAGTATTTTAGAAAAATAGAAGATGGATTTTTTTAAATACTAATAGATCTGTGTTATGTCACTGTGTTGTGCCACAATTTTTTATACTCTTTTTAACTTATATTTCTCCAGAAGTTACATGCCATAGTTTATACACCAGTGTTGAACAGTATCTTGCAATGCATATATCAGGCTGTTTAGCTGCATCAAAGTAAGGTCTCTCATGCTCATAATATATTTCCAAGAATTCAGTGTAAAAGGGCATTATTTCCATTTGTGCATTTTGCTATTCGTCTTGTGATTTTTTTATGAATTTGAAAAATTAGTTATCTCCCTATCTGATTAAATTTGAGTGAATATAAGAAGTTTTAAAACAATGTCCATTTTATAGGAAAAGATTTAAAACCATGTTCATTTTATCCTTCTGTGGATTGTTTCCAGAAAACCCAATGAAGGAAGTAAAATTATTTCACAATAATTTATAGGAATAGGCTTCCTATTATTAATTTGTAAATATTTTAAATATTTAGTACTTTTAAAAATTGTAATTAGTTGGTTCACTCAGGTCTTCATGTGAGATAACCTATTAACATATAGTTCATTTCCTCAGAAACTCTTTTCAAAGTTTGCAGTAGTCTTCCCTTCCTTTATATTTTCAGTCAAGCTGAACCCAGCAAGCGTTTTTGTTGACAGCTTCCTCTCTTGCTTAGCAGCACTATTGATGCCTTCAACAGAGCTGCCAACCCAGCCCTGGGAACAGCAGGTCTTGGTTAATTAGTGCACTGGAGCACAAACATTTTTTCCATCACATGGTACATAACCCAGCACTGTGGTGGAGTAAAATGGTACCTACAGAAGTCAAAAGTTTAGCACATTCCTTATAATTTGAAAATAAGATGAGACACTCAGGCCTGCTCTTCTAAACAATTTGTAACTAGGAATGTCCTACACTGTGCATGCATACTCAATTTTTCTCCCACATGCATCAAATTCTTCAAGCCAAACAGCTGACAGAGCTCTTCCTACAGTTATACAGGGGGTGGTGCTGAGGTCCTGGCATGAGATACACAAATAAGACTGAAAGCAGTGTCAACATATTTCTGGTGATGAGTATAATGTGACACTCCAAATGGAGTATTTTATCTCCATTTCAGTATCACTGCTCTAGTCCTCTCCCTAACAGCTAAATACCACTGTTTATTTTTCACAGCAATACCTCTCACAATGTCTACTTGAAGTGGCAATCACATGCCAGAAATCCACTCTTCAGACAAGCTAGAGCAATACATGGATCCACTCAAGCTCTGACTTTGACATCAGCATTTTACATTCCACATATTCTTCCTTTCTTCCATTTCTCGGAGGACACAAGGGCCTTACCAAATCCATCAAGGTACCTCACCAGTCAACTGACTTGCTACCCCTTCACTGTTATAACGGTTTCCCTTACTCGTGTGTTTCCTTTCAGGTTTTTTTTTCCATTTTCCTTTATATTAATCCTCGGAAAATGCTCCATTGATTAGTGTCACAAAGCCTCTATGGACTTCCTCTATGGGAAGTAATCAAAACTTCTGACCAACTTCAGTGCTCCCTAAGTTCTTACCAGTGAAGTCTCTTCTGTTCTGTGCATGGCCAAAATTGCCTCAGCTATTATTTCACTGGACCAAACTCTTAATGAACTACTTAAATATTAATTATTCTACTTTCTGCCACAACAATTCTGAGTTTTTATTTTCTTTTTCCTGTTTCTCTCCTGTACTCTTTACAGGACTTTATGAAAAGGAAATGTACATCAATGTCCAGCAGAAAGGAAGCTGGAACTGACTACAGTGTATCAGGAACAATACACCTATATTATATAAAGATTGTGATTTCCCTTTCCTAAGATACTTTTGTGAATGGAAGTCAAACACGCGCTGACCTTTTTTGCCATTACATCACTCAGAAAACACATCTGCTGGGCTGTCTGCAATCACCACAAAGGGGTTTTGTTATGTTTTTTAAACAAAGACAGTACAACACACTTTTCCCTTAACCTCTTCTAAGCATGTTTTTCATGGAAATATTAACTCAGCCAGAGGCAAACACTAAAGGCAGAATTTTTCAGACTGATAACTGTGCAAAAGAGAAATTTTGCAATCTGCACCACTCCCTTTCCTATACAGAACAGAATTTAATTTACTAGCTGTCTCACAGTTCCCAAAATAAGTCTTCACACACACATAAAATTAAGGATTAGTGAGGATAATTATCAGGGGTACTGTTTTTACAATTAACATATAAGCTGACCTGCATCCTAGTGTTCTGTGATATTTTCACAAATCACCATGTTAGCTCACATTTAAGAGCCAAGTAGATTTTATGGTATCAGCACCTCAAGACTTTTCTTTCCATTTGTGTTCAAATACATTAAATTATGTCTTTTAAAGTACTTAAAAATACGTAAAATACTAAAAAGTACTTAAGTACTTTTTACCTCATATGTGAAAGTATATGGATACAGAGGTATCTCAGTAAAATATGACTACCCTCCAGAAAGGAAGTTGTGCACCTCCTACTGTCCCACTAAAATGGCATTTGCTCCTTAGTTTACTGTACAGACTTCTCAGTTTCCATTTTTTACTACTTCAAGACAAGATTTTCTGCAGCCAGAGCACTCTGGATGCTGTTGATCTGACATAGTTCTCTAGTGAAGAAAGTCAGAAGAAAGCACTTGCTCTTTGTAAACAAACATCATGTATATATATATATATATATACACTGACCTCTCTGAGAACAACTGGAGAAATTAGAGCTATTTGGGTAAATGACAAAAATGACACAAATCATGGGTCTCTGACTACATAGAGTAAGGCATTGAGCTTCAGTGGCTGAACTGATCCACACAGTTGCTGCCCAGGGAGGAAGACAAAAGGACCTCAACTCTGTCACAGACTGTGAGATAGATTTTCATCCTAGAAGAAAGGTTATCCTGTCTCATTCACGGAATCCTGTAACAACCATTTTTTTCCCGTGCATCTCACAGCACTTGTCCTCCTCAGGCTTCAAATCAAGATGCAATGCAGTGATATATTTCACATTCACTTTTAAATCTTTACTTGATCTCTTTTATGATGGCAGACCAAAACCCAAGCTGAAGTGGCTGAAAAGTAACCTCCTCTGCAGAACAGAAGGCAGCCCTGATGAATTGTACAAAGCTCCTCAGAGGTTGCATTCCCCCTCCCTCCCATTTCACTGCTTGGATTCCTTTGTTTGGTAAATAGGTCAGTGCTCATAAAAACACCCCTCCAGGGCTGAGTGCCTCACATAACCACAGCAGCCAACATAAGGAAGATGGATGTTAACATGGCAGCAGCTCAATCACACAACTTCCATGGACCATGGAGAACTGAAATAAGCCACACTGACCAAGCAGTAAGGAGAGGGACTACAAGATTAACTGACAAGAGTCAGAAAAATGTAATTATTTCCCAACTCAAAATTCCAGTGATCATGACTCAGACTGTGACAGGCTCTATGAACACCTCACTGCCCAAAAACTGTGTCTTCAGAAGAAGACAAACAGGGGATCCTGGTCAATGCAACAACCTTGATCCCATAACCAGACTGTAATGCACTCTGGTTAACAGCTCTGCCCCACCTTTAACATTCTCTGTAGATATGCAACCCATGAATCCTTTCTTAGCTATACTGCCAAGGATGTCAGTTGTGTTTTTGAAGTGGTCTTTTCTGGAAGAAGTTGAGTGATAGTAATTGCAGTCTTAAAACAGCTTAAATACACCAACACCTTTCAGAGAAGATGACAGATTCACTTTAATACCCCTCCCAGGTATGTAGAGAAACTGAAATACCAAAAATATTATTAATCTAGGCTCCAGACCTCATTCCTGTAGCACAAAAGCAAAGTAAAAAAATGCTATTCAGTGATAAAAACCAATGTTTTAAAGGGAACTGAAATTTAATGCCTGGCTTTGGATCAGAGACAACAGCTTAACAGGAAACCTACTGGGTTGAAGACAACAACTGGACAAAGGAAGTTTCTTTCCCAGCACTTTTTCCTAGATCCTTTGTTGCTTGGGGAAAAAAAAAAAGGCATCCTGTACCTTTCCCAAACAAAATCTTTATATGATCTAATAGTGAACACATAATTTGTTCCAAGATTACAGATACTGATTTGGTTCCTCAGTTAGAGACTGGTAGGATTTAGTAGCCAAGGTGCAGTGCCACACAAATGCAGATGAACTGTTCACAGGGCCCACCTCATTAGAGAAGCATGACAACCACCATTACTGCAGCTCACACAAACAAGGCAGGTCTCTGCTGGCTCTCTGCTTTGCAAGGTTAGGAGTCTCTGTGCTAACATTTCACTTAAAACATTAAGGTTTCAAACTCTGAGCAAAGCCTCACTGATTTTGAACTGAATCGCTATATATATGCAATACTGCAGGGAAGTTAGTGAGATGTACTGGAAGCACCTGAACCAGCTCTGGAAAAGACAGCTGTGGTTCAGAAAAACTGCCTGGGATTCTCCTTTATTCAAATATTTTAGCCAACTATTTAGCTAGATACAAAACAACCAACTGTGATACTAATAGAAAAAGGAGGCCTACCATAAAATACATGAACTGCACACATAGGAAAGACTTATCCCATCTGTATAGTAAAAATGGAATGAAATATACAGAAAATCTCTACCAACAGGGGATTTCTGCATTTCATAAACACCAATACTTGGTAGTTGAGAGAAATAAGCACTGTGCCATGTAAAATACTGTGTACTGTTGTTAGCACATAAATTTCTGGACTTTTGCAACACTGAAGACTTCAGGGTTCGAGCGAAGGGGGAAAATCAATTGTCATATGCATGTATGGTAAAAGTGGGAACAGTATCAAAGTTCCTACTATCCTTCAAAAAGAGACAAGTCTCTTCAGACATACCGGAAAGAGCAGAAATCCCAGTTCAGCAGTTTTGCAAAGAATTTTCAGAAAATACATTAGTGGAAAATTACTTCTGCCAAAATACACTGACATGTCAGTTCCTCAGGATGCCATCAAATCATATCACTATGCAGCATTACCTTCTGCTTTTGTGTAGATTGAGACGTTTCCATTTACCAAGCCAGCAAACAAGTACTGAGACCTGTATGTTAAGCTCATAACAGTTGATTTTTCAGGAGTGAAGAAGTGTTGAAGTCGAATTTTCTTTGAGCCTTGGCAACTTTTGTAAATAGAAATGCTATAGAAAGAAGCAAGAAGAAACAGACTGTGAAATTCTGCTTTACATAGTTCTTGCTAGAATATGCAAAAGAGAAGTTTAAAATAAAATATTGGGGGAAAGAGGATTTTCTCCTTCAATTCTTGACACCCCAGAATGTCTGTGTAGACAACTTGTAATTACTTAACATTGACATATGACAACACATTCATATTATCCTGTCTGCAGAAACAGTTATTCAAAAAAGAGACATAATAAAAATTCTGCTTAAAGTCCTTATTATGAGTCTATCTAAAACTTTAATTAGTTAAAAAAATATATATTACGTGGAAAACTAGGGAGAAGAAAAGAAAAACTCACTACCAGACATCACTTACACTTAAAATTTCCACAATTCCTATTGATTGTTACACTGGGTATGGTAAGAATATTTTTAAATCTGGAGTTAAATCACTAATTTCTAGAATGGCATTTTCCTTGGAAAATTTTGATCTCCTTCATTTATACTGGTTACAAACACCTCCAAAAATCACATGTATTTACACACTTATGGCCTCACTAACAAGATCTGTTTACTAACTGACCTGTAAGTTTAGAACATGTAGCCTTGTTCTACAACACTACAAATCAAGGGATGGCTCAGTAGGCCATCAGTCCAGAGGCAGCAAAGTAATTAATGTCAATAGTAAACAGCAATTTTTTTTTTTCATGTGACAAATCCTGCATAATATGACAGGGCAGAAGATTAATGGACTCCTCTTTGCCATTTGAAAATTGTCCAATACCTGAAGATTACCTTGTAATGTAACAAAAGTAGTATTTATATTTTTCAGATATGATGAACTAATCCTCTTTCATCAAAAAGATGCCCTGCTTTAATTTCAAATACCACACGGTGTAATTTTAAATAATGTAGAGTCCATTTTATCCTTTATTTAAGTGGAAAGGATACCTTGAGGTCACGGGATAACACCTGGATACTTTATAAAAAAGTAACATTTTCTTGGAAGTATCTCACACAATTTTTCTATAGAATAGCAAATTTAATCAATAAATCATACACATGACACCAAAACCAAGAATCACCTTCCTTCTTCCATGCCAAGGCAAATAGTGGGCACATTAGAAGTTTTTGCAAGAACGTTTTCAGAGTCTGGAGCTTTATTTTGCTCTTTCAGCTTCTCCTCCTCTGGTATGTAGACCATGCAGAGAATCCGTGATTCTACATTGAAGCACTCAATAACCTTGGGGCTGGAGCTTTGAAACGAGACTATTGCAACCTGGCCCATCTGATTTGTACAACTGCCAATCTGAAATGAAAAAAAGAAAATTAAAAAAAAGCACAAGAGACCATGACTGATACCTGTCTCCAGGAAGATCAACAAGTACAAGAAGGAATGACTGGAATGTTAACTGAAGAGTGCATCTCAAGTTATATGTGCCAATATGAATTTTCATGCATAAGAGAGCAATTTTCAGACATAAGAGAATAATTCAGCACAAATACAAGATATATCAAAATATTATACATACAAACTTGCCTTCTACACTCACAAAAAATGTTTTTAAAGCAGGAATAATATTATGGCTTATTCTGATATCTGACTCAAATATGTATACATTTGTATAATGCAATTACTGTAAGTATCTGTGCAACATGCTACTTTAATAACTGGTGTTCTAATTGTCTCAAGTTCTTTAAAACCAGGTAAAATGGCTGAGGCCTGTCCTTTGCACAGTAACAGGTCTACGAAGAAATGCTCTGTCTCAAAAGAAAGAGTCTGGTAAACTTGCTGATACAGAAACCTAAATTTCTCCCTGATCCAGAACTAAGTATCATGAACATGTCCATAAACTTGCACATTTTAGGGATCAGGGAGCAGTAAAAAAATCTACCCAAGCACAGTACATATTTTTGTATAGTAACTCTTTCTGTTTATACAAAATAAAATAGTAAAGAAAAAGAATATTTTGTAGCAGCAGAAAGATTTAATTAGCATGTTTTTGCAACTACTGTTTACAAATGGCAAAGACAAAAGGAAATTATATAGGGTGCCTTGAAAAAGACCACTAAGAAAAGCTATTTCTAACTTTTAATTTGCAAGGGTTCCCTTAAAATTTCAGTATTGTAGTAACTAGAAAAGCTCCTGAAATCATTAGCTTGCCTTTTTTTTTTTTTTAAGAACATCTCCTATCCACCTCATTTTCTTCTGCTGGAATATCAGCATATCTGGGGTCGTAGCAATATGCAGAATAAGTTATTTTCCTATGCAGATTTAAACAGATTATTTTTGGCTAAAACATTCCTGAAATATGAAAACAGAGAGTAGGACAATGTAAACTCACAGATTATTTTTGGCTAAAACATTCCTGAAATATGAAAACAGAGAGCAGGACAATGTAAACTCATATATATGGGTTTTAGTAGCAATTGTTACAAATTGCTACTAAACAATAGTAGTAGAATAAGTTATTTTCCTATGCAGATTTAAACAGATTATTTTTGGCTAAAACATTCCTGAAATATGAAAACAGAGAGCAGGACAATGTAAACTCATATATATGGGTTTTAGTAGCAATTGTTACAAATTAGCACATAACTCCCTTCTGAATGTGCTCAGCACTTTGGAATTCATTCTGTGCTGCACAAACTACACACACTTAACTACAGACACCCTACAGAGACCAGCAAGATCACATGACAAATTAGTAGCTAATCCTTTATCTTTAAACAAATAAACAAAGAGAAAAAAATCAACCCAACATTTCTTTCATACCTACATATTATCAAGAGTCACAAAAAGCAATGGAAAGAAACAGAAGACAACCACTTTCAGATTTTCCTTTGGATGAAGTGTAAAGGTGACACTTACCCAAAGAAAACCATGTTCCACAGCACAGGAATCTGACTCTGTTTCTCCAGCAAGGTATGGCTCAGGATTATAAGCAGCACATTCAACCTTCAAGGAGAGTAAAAAGGGAGCTGTTATCACTAAAAAAAAAAAAAAAAAAAAAAAAGCCTCTTTCTGTCTATTTTAGTTTGTAATTAACTGAAGCATTTAAGGATATCAAAGAATCTTGTAAGGCAAGAAGTCAGTTTAGTTCACCCAGCTCCCCTGGGCAGGGTCAGCTGCACAGATATTGCTCCTGACACATTCCTCATCCACCCCTGCAGACCTTCACGGCTGAAGACTACAAATTCTCTTTTGCTGATCTGCTCAAATGCTTCATGACTTTTATTAAGTTTTTTCATCTTCCCAACCTGACACCATCCCTGATATAATCATTTCCCTGTTACTTCTCATCTCAGTCACCAGGTACTTACTTCTCTTTCTCTGCAGTGTCCTTTTGCATAAAAATCATGACCCTGCCTGAGACACCTCTTCACTAGGCTAAATTAACATTATCATTTAATTACCTATACTTTTTTTAAGAATTATTTTTTTAAATTTTTTGTTTTTAAACTTTAAACTTTTTAAACTTATTATTGCCACTTTTTCAACTGACATTTCTCCAGCAGATGTATCAGCCTCACGTGTGTATTTGAGGGCACAGAGTTTTCTCACCAAACACACTATTCTAGCAGAGCTGGTAGCAGCACTACACCATTATTATATCTTCAGAAGCCTGTTTCTACACATCTCATTCGTTACTACTCTTTGTAACAATATTACATTCCTAACCAATCCTCACCTTTCCGGTCTATCAAAAATTACTTTAACAGACCAACTAAACCACCTCTTCAACCTGGATTTAGGAAACTCCTAATTTCTCAGTGAGCATACCATGTGTCTGTCCTGCTGACTGTCATCCTTTTCATCTTTCTTCCCCCTTCCCAAAAGACTTCTCCAGGTGCCTTGGTCATTCTGAATGTTAATACTATCATTCTTCAGACTTCAACTCCCTTCCAATCTCATGTCATCATGTTACTGTCAGTATATTAATAACAATACTCATGATTTTATCATGCAGGCCATTTAAAAAAAAATGAAAGCAACACCAGACTCAAGGTCTATATTTAAAATCCATCCCAACTCTGAACATGAATCAAGCATCAAGAATCCAAAAAAACCCATTTTTATGGCCAGTCATGGTTTTCTAATTTCCTAATATCCACGGCAGTTTCCTAAAACTTATATAAACACTTCAAAATATATAAAAGCAATTCATAACTGTGTAGAGAATAAAAAGGTTTCTAATGAGGTGTGATACTACATTTTTAAACAAGATTCTCTAGAATTCAAACCAATGTTCTCATCTTGGACATCAATGTCCCTGTGATTATATTGTAGTACTAGCAAAAACTCAGTTAGTATTAACTCCCCATAGCCTAGCAACATCACCTCCCAACAGTGAACAATTAAAAAAAAAATAAACCAAAAACAAAACAAACAAAAAATCAAAATAAATTCAAACCAAACCAAACCCCAAACAAACAAACAAACAAAAAAAAAAACACAAAACCCACAAACAAACAAACAAAAAAACAAACCCAAACAACAACAAAACAAAAAAAAAACAACCCCAAAACAAGCTGGCAAAATTTAAGAGTTCTAAATTCCAAGTTTACTTCATTTTCCAAAGTGAAAAGAATTTTACAGTCTCCTTGAAGTCAGCAGGCATTACAAAGTGATTTGCCTTAGTAGAAAAAAATATTATTTATTCAGCAAAGCAATTCAGTATATACAGATAAAAATTTGAAATCAATAGATGAAAAAAGAGGAAGAAAAAGAGCTTCCATGCCTGTCTTAGCATGTCTCATTTAACACATGCTGAAGCTATCTACTTGAAGTGATTTACAGTAGCTGTGACAACGAAGTATATCACTAGTGAAAAATAAGACAGTCTGCATGTTGGATATTTCCCAGGCTCCTTCTTACACCTTGTGTCACTTTGCATCTTAGTCAAAAGCGATGCTTTTTCCATAGTTAAACCCCGGCAGTTTAGCTCCAAGTCTTGACACAAGCCCAGGACGTAAACCTGCTCTGGTGGCTCCCTCCACCACTGGGCAGGCTGAGCAGGACACAGAGCCAACAAACAGGAAAAGCCAAGCAGAGGTTCTCTTCCCACCCTGAGCTGGGGCTGGAGAGCCAAATTGCAGCTGAGACTGCAGTAATACTTAAGTAATATTTTCTAGTAATATCAAGGATTTGGCAGACCAGGAATGACACCTGGGCTCACACCCACATTGCTTTAAGGAGCTGCAAAAGTGGCAAAGTTAGCCCAGGGCTGAGGCCAGTGTTGTCACACACTGCTGTCCTGAGGTGACCAAGGCAAAGATCTCAGCCAACTATAAAGGTGACAAACTTCCCTTTCCTTTCAAAATAAGAAGACTCTGCTCTAACTTGATTACAAGAGTTGAGCCTGGGTCTTCACGGATCCTGGCACTCATTTTCAGGATTTACAAATGCCTGGGCTCTACGGAAATACATACATGATTTAAGTTTCTGAAAAAAATTTAAAATAGCTGGTTATTTCACCAGTGGTGACTTTAGAAAGTAAACCTCAGAAAAAGCTGTTTAAGTAAGACAAGCATGATTGGTTGTATGGGAAATCAGAGAGTTTCAGTAAATTTGACTGCTCTGGAAACCAGTATCATAGGAATAGATTGTCTTAGCACCATTACGTATTTCTACTGCATTTTGAACCACCAATCATCTTCCCCCAACATCCACTTTGTACGCTCACATTTGAAGTGAAGCTGTCAGCTGAGCGTCCCTCCTGTGCAGGCTGTTCTAGTGGTGAGGGTCTGCAGACTCACCTCTTTAAGCAGCACCCATGCAATGACATTAACTTAACTTTGGGATTCTATCCACACATACACAATTTCATTTCCATTACTCTTTTTGCACAAGGCTTACTGACTGCTGGTCAATAAGAAATCCTATTGGTACACTGGAAAAACCGCATCCAGCACTCTTCCCTTTCATCTGTTGGTTTGGTATTGTACTTATTTTCATCATCAAAGTCAGTAGTTTATTATTAATAAGGCTTCAAATGGACACATTGCTTTAAGAAGTAAACCATTAAGACATGTCTATATAATGGCTATATAATTGTTCAGAATATGACATTTTACATAAGAGTCCACAAAACATCATTTTTAAAAAAATATTTTAAAAATATTATTCTCTGTGCACTGATAAAAATCAGATATTTGAGGAGGATTTAGCATAGCTACACCAGGAAAGGACAGCTTTCATGGAGATCAGATTCCTGCTCTTGCAAGCTTTAGGTTACTTCTAAGCCCCAAACACACACTTGGAAATCTCAAGATTAACTAAAAATTCCCAAGAGTTCTTTTTACACTGAGTGATTCATTTACATATGAAAGTGAATGTCATACTATGTAAAAATAAACATTATGCTCCTTAGTGCCTCAAAGATTGCAGTATTTTGCATTCCTGTGACTCTTCTGGACCTTTAATTGCCAATGGTCTTAAAACAAAGTAGCCACTCAAGAGAACTAACAGATGTGAACTAATAGATGTATTTACAATATGGTATTCTTTAGAAATTATATCACACAAGAAAACCTAATTGTAATCTCTTATCAAAATTCCATTCACCTTGAACTCCTGTTGCTTGGCCACCATCACTGGCATGTGTCTAACAAGGAGAGGATGTTTTTCCTTTTTGATTTGGTTCCCATCATCTTCTATGCAGAACCAACCTAACAAGTTATCCTCTGCTGTAATGGAAAGAACAAATAATAAACACTCCACAGTCCTCTCACTGAATAATCACTTCCACCTTTCCACAGGAACAGAAAAGAATTCTGTCAGGACAAGGCAATACAGATTAGGCTGTTCTTATGCCACAGATGCATAAATGACAACACCAAACTGAGCAAAAATTCAACTGAGTAGATTACATACATACTGATAATGCAAAAAAAGAACATCTTACGTTAGCAAAATGTTAAGGGTAGTCTCTTAATGATCTTGTAAATTGAATATTGAAAGAGGAAAAGACACATCAAACCTCTCCTCAAGACTCTAGGAAATCTGTTTGTTGAACAGTATTTCTCTGCCTGTTTAAGAAACATCACCACCAACTGCCAGTTATCATAATTAAAAGGATCCTCCTGCTGGAATGATGGAAACACCCATTCTCTCTTCTTTTTTGTTACTTTGCTTGTCTTCTGTGAGACATCACAAAAGCACTCTATTTTGACCATGTGCTGGTGAAACTTGCTTTCAAGCAAGTTAATGTTTCTCAACGTAGGCACTGAAAAGTCCAAGTATCTTTGGAAACCTATCCCCTTGTGCAAACACAGGAAAAAATACCACAAGACAGCATACTTTTTATTGTTCTGACTTAGAGACTATATGTATTGATTTAGACGCAACAATTAGTAATGAATACCAGACTTCATTAAAATACTGTTGAAAATATATTATTTCATAATGAGTGCCCTGTTTTATCTATAATGCTATTACTTTGTAGTGATACACAATCACTGCTATTTACTGTATTGCAATTTTAAACATCTACAGACAATTTTAACCCAAAAAGGAAAATCATTCTCAAAAATATATATATATATATATATTACACTTTATATTGAGAGCTATTTTAACTTGTTAGGAAATTTGAGTAAGTAGGAATTACCAAGGGCTAGTTTAGCCATTTGTAAATTGTTGATCCAAGACTGTTTGATGGCAGGAGTAAATGTATTGAACACAGCTGTAAAGAAAGTTGGCCGCCCAGACCTGCAGTACAGAAAAAAAACAAAAAAAAAAACCAAACAAAAAGCCACTATAAATGCGATGGGTATGAATACAGCCATTGCTAAAAATTAAGAGCAAAATGAAATTTCATTATTTTCTAATACTTAGACAAAGACTCAGCTCTGATTTCAGTGTGCAGGCTATGATATGCCACATGTCCATCTTCCTATATTTTACACAAAATGATATGAGAGGAACTGGAGAAGGAATACAACAGTGACTGTTATTAGACGCCACAGCCAGGGTTCCTCTCTTGCTTCTTGCATCCAGAACACTGGGCTGAGGAACAGGAGCAAAGCTACAGAGCTGTTCTGGAACATTAAAGCTGGGCTGAGGAACAGGAGAAAAGCTGCAGTGCTGCTCTGGAACATTAAAGCTGCCAGCATTATAGCCTAAGAGCAAAACTCAGGGGCTTACTATGGAAACAGAAGGGAGGGAAGAGCTACAGATTCCCAAATTCTCACTAGTACATATACCTATACACTAGTATCTATACCTAATACACAAACCAATTTAGAAAATTTTGTAATCAAGATTTCCACTGACTTGTCCTGTTTTCCTGGGAGTTGCAGCTGAATCCTACAGCGATCTGCTGCTCTAATTTCATCTTCTTTTTTCAAAATCAGTTTTTGTAAACCTGAGGTCCAGTCATGGGCTACAGATTGGTTTAAATTCTGAAAAAATAAAAAAAAAATAGGATTCAACACCAGCCTAGCTGCAAACAGGATAATAACGTGATTCCTGCATATAACAAACAATGAAACACGGGCTTCAATTAGCAGCCTAGCTGCAAACAGGATAATAACGTGATTCCTGCATATAACGGAATCACGTTATTATCGTAATAATGAAACATTATGAAATGAAACACGGGCTTCAATTAGACTACATTTCCACCATGGATCATTTAGCCATACTTGTAAACACAGTTTGAGCCAAAACGTTTACAGAGGCATCATGAAAGATGTGTGGTCTAAATCTGTTTAAGATGCTGAAACAATAACTGCAAGGTGAGCGTTCTGTTGCAGACAGTGAAAGCTCACCTGAATGTACAAAGCATCGAGACTAACAAATACACAGAGGTACACACACTTTCCACCATCAGAATTCTATGACAACTTAAGTGTTTTTCAAAAATCAAGAAGCTAACCTCATTCCTCTAAATAAATTCTTTTAATGATCTTACATACATCTACCCTGAAACAATGACTGAATTTTAAGTTTGCAAAGCGTAGTTGGCTCTGACTGTCAGTGCAGGCAGAAAGATTTTTTTATATGGTGATGGGTGGATGTCTTTTGGTATATCTGTGCTATACATATTCCCAATTATGCAGATGAAATTCACCTTCTAATACTTGTGAAGCTTTTTCCAAAAGCACTCTTTCCATAAACTTCATTCTGAGTATATATTTTCACAAAATTCTATGTTTTATTTAATACCTTTACTCTGAAGCCAAGATATGTCATAAGAAACTCTGCTTTTATATATTCATACATATACACACATTTGCAACCTGTGGTGGCAGGTAGGAGTTAAAAACTACATGTAACCACAGATTAAAACATATAAAAATCAAGCAAAAAAGTAATTGTTTGAAGTCTCAAGGCTTCATTTGGTGTTAAGTACTATATTTATTTGCCAGAATGTAAGCTAAATCAAAGGGATGTGAACAAAGCTAAAGCAAAATAGTTTCAAAATTCTTCTGAAAATCCCTTTATAACTGATTTATACTCAGTTTTAAGTAAAGTTTCCCCCTGCAAAAGCCAGGATTATGAGCTTGGATGGGGATCAAGAGCTTCCTCCATACAACCATCCTCCTACTACCATGTCTAACTGCAAGAATCCAATTTCTTAACATCAAAATGTAATTCTGTTTCCATATAAGCTTATCAGCTACTCAACAAATGAAGACACTTGTAGTTTCCACCTACACTTAAAAACAATAAAGAAAAGGAAGATTAGAAGGACAGCTGTAATCTATTTATTACACTTAACAGTAAATGCTGTTAACTGGAGATAATACTAGAGGTAAAAATTATTCCACTTTTTGCAGAGAGAACTAAAGAATGCCTTGCACAAACCCTAGGGGGAGGCAATTATACAACTTTACAAGAACAAACTTGAAAAATAAATCCAGCTTTGTTTATTACCTGATAGTTTCCTTTAAGGCTGCTTATTAATTGGCTAATTTGACCAAGTACATTCAAGTCATGTAAAAGGTTCTGCAGATCATGGTACAGTTGCCCTGGTCCCATATAGAGCCTGTCTGAAATGAATAAAACCATAAGGTTATACATAACAAAATATACAATTTTCAGTTGAACAGGAAAAGTATCACAAATACAATACAAACATATATTACATCTTAAAAGCACAGTGGTTTATTTCTTTGCATGTACAGGCATTACCATTTGCATTTACTTTTACAACACCTTATTGCCTTTTTAGCTACAAACAAGATTCAAGTTGCTCATCTGGTATGACGGAGAGCACTATCTACAGTTTTAATATCCCACACTAGAATTGTAACAACTATCAAAGCTTCACTGGCCCCAAAATCTCTTGCTGCCATGGAAGTTTTGTTTAGCACCAAACATCGGACTTGCTGTAACACATTAATGCAAACATCTTTCCAGGAGGTTGTTTTTGGTTACATGACAAGCAAAAACACTTTTCTGTAGCTTTTGCTATGATGGTTTAAAATTCAAAATTTTCTTTATTGATTGTGAGACAGCTCATGGTCACATATCTATATCCTAACTCTAACACAAGCTTGCAATTTCACTGAACCACTTGAAATTTTTCTGCAATCATGCTTAAGTCAAAAAAAGAACTGTCCTAAAATCAGCAGCAAATCTGAACAGGAGCAGAAATATTTTAAGCTAATAATCAACAAGTACAAGGGCTTATAAGGGAACAGTAACTCAGACAAACACACTGATTACTAGGATAGGGTGTCCATTTAAATGCACAGAGCTTGCAAACCCCTGCTAATATACTCTGACTACCATGATGCTAGGAATGGAATGGTTATGTAATTCCTTTGGAAACAACACTCACTGTCCCATTAAAAAACTACCCTGACTCACACAGAGTCAGCATGTTTCCCTTCAGCTGAATGACAGGAACAGGACTGGTTTATCTTGCCAGGAAACTCTTGCAGATTCTTTAGCTCACAGAGTGTAGTATCCAAACTATGTATCCTTCATCCTTAGCACAGCTTTAGACACCAGTCTGTGGGCAGCAAACGCCCCTGGATCAGAAGGATTTCACTGGTGTGTTGGCAGGAACAGGATCTGAATACAGTGCTGGCTCTGTAGACAGCTCAGGAGCACGAGCACGAGCTGTGCCACCTGCTCAGGCTGCAGGGCAGAGGGCGCTGGGCACAGCCCAGGTGCCACACGCACACCGCTGGCACCTCCGCTCCCCCAGCCCGCTGCAGGGCCAGGGTACAAAACACAAACCAAACACAAAGCTGTCCAAATAGCCTAAGTCAGAGTAAATATTAAAAATAAACATGCATGGAACAATTCCACTTAAATCATTAGTATCTTTTTAGTTAGGTATCAAAATAACTATTTTCTAAAGACATTTATTTTCCTGTTTGCATCATACAGATGGAGGCCATTACAATGTTTTTTTTTTTTTTTAATGCAATTCATTATATTAAGCTGAAAGTCTGCCTTAAACCCTGAAAAGCATAAAATTTCAAGTCTCAAAGAAAATATTAATGGCTTTATTTAGTTCTCCATTTCACTGCAGGAAAGTGCAACATAAACCTGAAATATTACACATTCCCATAAAATTCCGAATTTTTATCTGGCCCTTAAATCTTCTGGTAAATTGGATCAATAAAATTATTTCTGTGCATTGCACTTGAGCAACAGACAGGGAATGACTGCCCTTTACTACTGTTTACCATCCAGATAATAGATGTGATGATCATCCTCTTCTTTTCCTGCTCTGAATGCTAATTAAATGAACAATCTAGCCTTTCTTACCCTCAAAACCAAATTAGACCATAAGAAAAGATTTGCATTTATTGTACACGATGAAAAGAAAAAACTCCAAAGTAGATCTAAGAAAAAGAATTTTGAAATTATGGTCAGTTGAGTATGTTTGCAGTTCTTCTTAAAAAAAAAATTAAACACTTTTCTTGAACTGCAGACTCCATACTTTCATTAAGCTGCATTTTCACTTTCTTCAACCCAAATGCTTGAAAAATCACTCTTCTCTCTTTGTATCTATCTTCTGATAGCTTACACCTTTTTTTTTGCTAATATCCACAAGAACTGTAATTTGTTAAGTACCAAAACCACTAGTTCCTAGAGGCATCAAATTTTGATTTTTATGGGGCTACTTGCAAAGAAAGGTGCAGATCAGTATTAACAGGAAATCTGTTGAAACCTAGCTAAAAGCCATGACAGTGTGTCTGGCACTGTAAACAACACAAATGATATCATTCTTGCTCCAAATTTCTCTAACAAAAAGATAACTTCTGCAAAAAAATTTACACTGAACAGAAATAATTGTTTGATTAGTTTAGTTTTTGGCAGAAGTCCAGTCACCTGGCATTTACAAACTCCACTAGTAACTCAACCAAATATCTGCCATGAAAAAATTACTTCAAGTCTTTTTGAAATTTAGCTTTGTGGGTTTGAACCAGGAGAAAACTTAGAACAATCAGGCTGTGAAAAGCTGAGTCTGTGAGGCTTCACTTGTACAGGACGGATATTTTTCACCCAAGCAAATTGCATTATTCTTAAATTATAAAAGCCAGGGTCACAGCCAGGGTAGCTTGATAAAGACAGTTTGCAGACATTTTGTTTATTATTGTTTGAAGACATTAATGCAACATATAACAAGCAGCATCCAGGCAAGTCCTAGATGCTGCAGGACTTTATGCCACAGTCTTCAACTGAGGCCACAAAGCAAGCTTTAACTGCCTACACAGATGGGCTTGCCCTGGGCAGTACATATACATCCAGCCTGATAATCCTCTTCTTGAAGCAAATAATCTTACAAATATCTTTGTTCCAGCCTTGGAAATAAATCTTGAATTTCATTCAGTAATTGTCACCTGAGTATCTTTTGTCTGCATCATGCATATTTTATAAGATATTAATAAGCCAAGATAAAAAGGATGTAAATATGAATGTCAAAGCAAATAAACTAACCTGGCATCTGAAAGGCTGTCACACAGAAAACCCAAACAAAAGTAATTTTAGGCTCATTCATTAAAAGATCACATTCTTAGTACAGGAAAGGAAGCACAAAATCAAAATAGTAAATAATTAATAATAGTCTGCTTCCATCCTCTGATGTTCTAGAAAAGAGAAACAGCCAAGTTAAGAAGAAATTTTAATAGCCAAGGACTAGGTCAATAGGCACCACTAATATAAGCCTTTCACCGAGGTCCCTAGTGGGCACAAACTGGCACAGAAAAATAAGGTTTCAGAAATCAACAATCATGTAGATTCATCAGAAGCAAGTTCTCCAAAAAGTGATCACTTGGATTGTGTCTGGAAAATAGTTGCAAGTTATAGCAAAACTTTATCTCTGAACTGGGTCCTATAAGGGTTACTCACAATGCCTTTTGAAACAGAACTGGCTTCTCAGCCAGTAACCAAACACTGACTACCAGCTGATCCTGAGAATCCTCTGATGGAGGGTTTTTCTTGAGTGGAGGAGTTGGGGGAAAACACTACTCTGTTCATCAGATGTTTCTCAGTTCACAGCCACAGACTGGCTGCTTCAGCCCACATGTTCCCTGACCATTCAATTGCTAGCTATTTTGGGGTGGGTGTTCACTCCTCCTTTATCCACAGAGAGTGCACTGAAAAACTCTTGGCTTCACTCCAAAGCAGATACATGGTCGGTTTCTTTTGCACTGTGAAATGTTTCACAAATGATAAAGACATTTCCTTCTCTTTCCAAGTCACTCTTGTTAATTATCAATCTCTAAAACAACTTCTTTTTCCTATGGGAAAAAAACCTTTCACGGTTTAGAGAAGGCTCTCCCCAGCTCTACACATCCTACATGCTACAGAGTGTGCCTGGGCAGGAGAGAAGGCAGCATGCTGTAACCAATAACCACACATGTGGCTTCAAAGGCAACTTTTTTGCATTCCACCTACAGATCAAGGGTGAAATCTTGGCTGCATGTAATCTAGCAAGAATCTTTTTCACCAACTCCTTTGTTGCTAAGATGTTACCAGAGGAATGTGTGCCTCCCTGCTACAGGCAAATTTACTGCCAACAACCAGTAATTCTTGCAAGCTACCCAATTCCTTGCTCAGCATAACAATGAAATACATTCAAGGTTAAAAAAGAAAACAAAACCACAACTTGGTTTAGAAGGAAGCAAGGAGGTTAAACTGATTTTGCTGCTATGTAAAACTGGGGAGAAGATTTGCTTTTTATAACAATTTCTTCTTAGGCCAAGACACATTTGAGTATAAGACCAAATATTATTTTACCTGCTTGTTTCCCAGTATTACTCTCAGCACCGCAGCTTCAAATTCATCCATTTTGCCTGGTATGAAACAATTTTTATAATTGGAACAGGAGCAATTCTAGGTTGATTTATACCCAGGCATTTTCAAAGCCTGCAGGAAATTCCCTGGGTGTGGTTAAAGTCCGTTTAATTTGGCTCAGACAGAAGGAGAATTGGGAAGGTTGTGAATAAATATACACATGCCGGAGAAGTGTCTGTGTGCTAATGCCTGGTCAGAGGGGAGGATTCCCACCTCTGGCAGAAGGCTGCACTGCTGGGGAGCAGCCACAGCTCTCTTCTTGCACAACAGCAGCTGCTTGAATAGGTGCTGGCACAGCAGCCGGTCCCCTGGGATTGTTGTCCACCCAGTTCTCCTAAATTTTCAATTTCCATGGCCACTTCAAGCATATTGGTTATCATAATCCTGAACTGCTCACACCCTATCCTTCCTTTCTAAGAATTACAAAGGGACACATTTATTTTCTATGGTGATTTGTTACCTGTAAACATTTTCTACAAGCTCTTGCTGTGTGTTCTGATTCTCATTTGTGAATTAATTTTATCATAGATTTGTGCTACTAAAGACAGAGTAGATGCAATAACCCATAATTTGAACATCTATTGCTGGGCAAGAAAACACAATGGCTCAGCTGGTCCCATCCCATACTGAACTCCTGTTTATTCCCAATTAGAAGGATTTTCTTCAAGTAATAAAATTATATAAATCCAAATGTCACACAAATTAAATAAAAGCCTCAGTCAATATACTT